CAGCCAAACTCAGTTTTCTGCGGCCTCGGGACTTTCCTGAATTGGGTCTGAAAACTGGTAACCAAGCAACCTAGATCTCTGATGTAGGGTCAGGCAGCTGTGGCTTCCAGGGCAATTTTTAGGGCAAGCAGTTCTTTAGCAATTATCGCAAGAGCCAAGGACACCGCCCTGAGCTCTCACAAAAGGAAGAGCCCTGAATGCTTCAGATGTTGGGAACCAGCAGGGAGCACAGACCCTTTCTAGAAGCTGTAGGAGGGCAGAGGCTTGAGGAAGAGAGGCAGCCACAGAAGCATTCCACCCTGCATGGGCTGGGCCACCGGATCTACACAGAGGAGCGCCTGGGACTAAGGCATCGTTGGAGGAGAGCTAGGGGAGCTTACTGACCCACAGTGACACTTCCTGTGGACCTCCAATGGGCCTGGGGCTGTGCTCGGTGCTGGGGTCACAGGGAGAAAGCTAGTCAACATTTGCAGTACAAGGTGAGGGGTGCTGTGGAGGAGGGGCACAAAGGTATCTAAACTAGCCAGGTGGAGGGGGAAAAGAAGAATGTTTTGTGGAGGTAGGATGGTGTAGCTGAGCGGTAAAGGATGCTAAGAAGTTAGCTGGATAAGGAGAGTGAGGAGGAGAAGAGAAGGAAGACAGCAGACTCCTCAAAGGTCTGGCGAACCAGATGCCATCCCAACCTGCCCTCCTAGCACTGCCTATTTAAAGGTTCCACACTGGGTCATGAGTTAGAGGGAGCACTTATTTTTCCCTCCCCAGGTTTCCATCCGGAGGACCTTCCATTGGATGAGAGCGCTGGTTCTCACCCAGGGGTGATTTGCATCCCTTGCCCTCAACAGCTGGCAATGTCTGGAGGCACTTTGGGTTGTCCCACCAGGGAAGGGGGGTGCTACTGGCATCTAGTGGGTAGAGGCCAGGGATGCTGCCAAAACATCCTATAATGCAGGGGACAGCCCTCTACAACAAAGAATTATCCAGCCCAAAATGTCAGTAGTGCTGAGACTGAGAACCCCTGGACTAGTGTATCATTCCTGACTCTCCTCCTTTTCCCACTCCCTCCTCCCAAGGGCCGGAGCAGGGACTCACCAGATGGGTCAGTTTGGAAAAACTGGGCACGGAGAGCCTTTTCTGGACCTTCCTCCCTGCAGAGGCCACTCTCTGCCATGCGCTGAGCTTGGCCAGGCAGGCTCAGGCCTGCCCCCACCCACAGGGAGGGCTGCAGTGGGGATGCAGGTACATCAGCTCCGTGAATCCCACCTTGAAGCCTGGCCTTCCAAACAGCTGTATCTGTAATGATGGTAGAGTTTTAATCTCCATCTGTCTGAGCCCTGCCTCTCTCTTCCCCTCCCCTGTCCCTCCCCACCTTTCTTTCCCTTCATTGGTCCTGAATCTGAACAGGGAAGTGGGATGCTGTTCATTGGACCCTTTCAAACCCCAACACTCAAACTGGAGATCTGGAGTCATATTTGGTTCTTGCTTCTTCCTTATTCTTCACAACTGCTGGATCACCGAGTCAATCCACTTCATGAATCTCTCTCGAAGCTGCCCACTCTTTCTATCCCCACTGCTGCGGATTTGCCCCCTTTATCCTTCAACTGAACAGCAGTAATATTTGTTCACTGCTCCCCCTTTCTTCTCATCTCTCCCTACTTCCACATCAGAGCTCCCTTTCTAAATCTCGGAGCTGATCACATCACTCTTCAACCTAATTCATGGGACCCTGTACACAAGGCAAACGGAGATTTGTTTTTAACTGCAATTTCATATAACAAGTACTATATGAGGAATGGGTAGTAATAACAACACTTACCTACCACCGACTATGTGCCAGGCACTACTCCAACCCTTTACATGGATGATCTCATTTAATCCTCATAGTAACCTTGTGAGGTAGGTACCACTTTTGTCCCCATTTTACAGATGAGGAAATGAAGGCACAGAGAGGTTAAGTAACTTGCTCAAGGTCACACAACTAGTACGTGGTAGAGCCAGGATTTGTGTCTAAGCCATTTGGCTCCAGAAATGGTGCCCTTGGACACTACACTAAACAGTGTCTTTCACTACACCAGACTTGTCTTAAAGGAAGTAAGATGGGAGCACAATGGAAGGAGCAAGCATCTCTGCCTGGGGGTGCTGGGGAAGGCCTACGAGGCAGTGATGAACTGGCCAGAGGGACAAGGTGGAGAAAGCATTCCAGGCTGAGGAGCCAGCACGTGCATGGTGGCTGAGCAGGGTCATGCAGCCCCAGGAGGCTCGGGGTGGCTGGGACAGGACGGATGGTGGGTCGGGGCGTGGCTAGGAGGTCAGAAGAGGCTGCGGAGGCCTGGCACAACACAAGCCAGAAGGGTGAGGGATGACTTGGCTGGAGGGACGTGTTGGAGAGAACACTGCAGCAGCGGGGTGTGGAGGAGGCCGTGGGAGCGTGGGCCTGGAAACAGCGAGGCCAGCTAGGAAGCAAATACTGTGGCCCAAATGGAGAGAAAGCTGCCATTCAGTCATTCACTCGGTCATTCCTTCGCTAGTCTTATGCACCTCTGTCAGGCACTGTCTGGGCATCGGGAAAACAGCTGAGAACAAAATGAAGTCTTTGCTCCCGTGGAGCGTATATTCTAATGCCTCAGTCATCGGCGGCGTTTCTCCACCCCGTCTTCCGCATTGCCAGCCTGGAAGACAAACACCAGACCTTCTGTACCTCCCCAGCCCCCCGGGGCCACCATGTCCTATGCATCTTCCCCAGCACCGTGAAAGTATAAGCCTTCCTCTTCCTTCCCGCTACCTGGAGAGAACTCCAGATGCTGCCTGCGGCTGCACTTATAGAAAAGAGGCGTGGTCCTGCTCCAGAACAAGGCAGACGAAAACGCAGGGGACCCAGGCTGGGAGATGCCACAGAGACCCGCAGGCTAGTGAAATGGTGTTTCTGAAAGTGAGAGGACAAATGGAGTCTCCCAGCCTCACGCACAAGGCAGCGCAGGTCCTTAATGAGTATTATCAACTGCTCGGACTTCCGGGTCTGTAAAATTGGAAATGAAATGAGAAACGCATGCCCAGTGCCTGGCAAAGTCCATACGTGGTAGGTAATGGCGACGACAGTGATGCTATTACTACCGCATAAATGTTTTTCAAATGAACGAATGCATCTCAGGAGACGGAGTCCAGGCCCACCAGGTGCTCCCTGTCGGGGAGTAGCTGCCGAGTGTCGAATGGAACCCACGGGACTGTCAGACGTTGAGGCATAGGCTGGCTTCTGTGACTAATTCGTCTAGGGACCTGGTGGAGTTCTTTGACATTTTAAACACTGCTTTCCAAAGGCAAAACCCCTCGGTTTATAGTCACATACATATCCATTTTCAAGCATTTTGCAGATGCTAAGGGCCAGGTTAGAAATGATGCCTGAGGCATGGCTTCTGACCTCAAGGAGCTGACAGTCCTCTAGGGGGGACACATGATACAGGCGTAGGCAGTCAGAGTAGCAACAGGTACAAAGTGCAGACGTAGCCCGTAGGAGGGAGGGATTAAGTATCGAGGTGTGTAGGGGGTGGGAAGGGCAGGCAGGAAAGGCCCCCTGGAGACAGGGAATCTGGATTCCAATGGGAGCTACATTCCAGGTGGATTTGACTCAGCTCGGTGCAGGTGGCAATGCCTTTGGAATGCAGTGTCTGGGGTGCGGAGTGGAGGGTGCAGGAGAAGGCGGAGACAGTCTTGCGTGGAGGCAGCAGCTGGGGCCTGTAGAACCCGCCTGGCGCATCTGGGAAGGAGCCTGGAGTCACCCGGTGAGGGAGGTCTGAAGTCGGGTAGAGATCCGATTAGATTTGGGGCAACAGTGTGCAGAACGGCTAGACTGGCTGGTTTCCAAAAAGTGAGTGAGAGTATCACAGAGGGGACCTGGACGTCCCGGAGCTGTGGGCAGTTGACGGTGTGGTACTGGATGACCTCCAAAGTTCTCTTCCGAGCCTAAGTGTCTACGGGTCAGGTTTTTTTTCTAAATCATTTAAAATGCATTAGCGGACCTTGCTATTTAAAAGCGTTCTCCTGGGAATCTTTCCGTGAAGCAATGATTCACTCTCCAGTCTGTCTTTGGTGGAAATCCAAATGATCATCTCTTCTATCAGCTTACAGCTACCAAGATAGACCTGCATGGAGCTTCCTTGTAGCAGCCTGGTGGAGGATGGGGGCAGTGGGCACCCGCAAGAAGTGAAGGGGAGGAGAAACTCAGCCCTGCTCCAGGCTTAGAGCTGGTACCATCTCACAAGTGGGCCCTGTGTGGGCTCCTCAGACCCTGCTTGATCCGTGGGACCTTTGGAGGTTTACAGAGCCCTGGGGCCAAGCGCCAGCTCTGGGAAGAAGGAGCCCGAAGGAAAGTTGGCCTTATGGACCCAGGCCTGTCTGGAGATCCACTTTAATACCAAGGGCCACATCTGCCCCAGACTGGCCGCCTACATTCACACATTCATTTGTTCACCCACCGAGCACCTGTGGAGCCCCTCCATATGCCAAGCACTGTGCAAGGCACTGGGTTTACAGCTGAGAACAAAAGACACATGTCTCCACCCCCGCTGCTTGCAAGGCAGCATTTCTCCTTCTTGGGAACTCTTCTTTCCCCACCTGCAAAAGGCTCTTTGGATATACATAGCTTCTCGGATGACTGGTGCATGATTGCGATTCCAAGAAAGAGTCTGTTCTTAGACTAGGGCGAAAGGGAACGTGACATCACTAAGGCAAGGCGACAGAAAGGGCCCGTGTGCTCACCGACTCTGACTACAGGGACTGACCTCCAGAGGCTGGGCTGCCCTGGACACGCAAGATGCTCACCACCTGCACGACAGGAACTGGGTGAGATTTATGAGTGAGCTTGCCCTCCCAATTTGGGCAGGGAGGGGTGGAGCCTTGGTCCTCTAAGGACAGCCTCTAGGAACGTCCCACCTCCAATCCTGAGGGCAAGGGCAGGGCGGGGCCTTCTGTGAAAAACTCCAGCCGAGGCCGCTCCCATGACCCCTGCAAGGCTCCTCTGCCTGTCCAGGTGGGGGACAGGGGTTCCCCGGCAACCTGCTGGTCCCGAAGGAGGGCAGGGACAAAGGAAATCCGGAGGAGGGGGTGGCTCTCGAGGTAGGTGGAGCGGCTGTTAGGGAGGGAAGAAGTCCCCACGGTCCCTTCCTCAGTCAACAGGACCCCTTAGCTCCACAGTGATTCCCATGACCTTGTCACTGTACTTGTTGGGTGCAAACAAAGATAAGAGTAACTGGAAGCCACAGGAAGGGTCATTTCACACTCTCGGCAACACGATTCCTTTGAGGCTAATTCAAGTAATATGTCAAAATGTCCCTTGGACGAGATCTTTAAGAATATGTCTTTTAAGTAAACAAGGTTTTCCTAATTCATGACACGCCTGCCCACCCCTCCTTCAAGTTCCTTGCAGAACTTCCCTGGGCCAAGAGGGCTGAGCCGGAAAGGGTGGTGAAGTCGCGGAGGGAGCGGGGACAAATCCAGCCGCGTGTCAGTTGGGGAGCTATCGGTTTCTCCGCCGGATGTTGATCAGATTTCCTGGGCTGGAACCAACTCACAGGGCCCGGGTACTGGAATTTTGCCAAGAAGCAAACGCTTTGCTTCTTACGAAGTCAACATGATTTCTTTCAAGGAAAATTTTTATCCTTTCTTTTTTGTAAGTGTCTAGGGTTTTTGAAGGGCAAATCTTTGGGCTTTTCTCTAAAGACAATGATTATGATATAATTATCATTCGCTAAGACCACCCCTGACCCCACACGCACTCACAGAGAGGCCTGGGGGTAGGGGAATGATGTGCCCAAACTTGTACCATGAGTCAGTGGCATAGCCAGAAATAGAACTTTCCAAACTCCCAAATTCCTAATCATAGCAATATTAATAATAGTCTCTTTATAATTTTCTAAGTGTTTTCACAGCTCACATTGAATCTTTACAACCACTTTGTGGACAGTCTGGGTAAGTCATTCTCAGGAGACAGCAGATCTGAGGTCCAGACCAGCTTTGCCACTTGTTTGCTGTGTGACCCTGGCTGGTCTATTCACCTCTCTGGATCTCAGTGTTCTCAGCTACGAAGTGTGAGCATTGGGTGAAAATACTTCTAAAATCCCTCCCACCTCTAACATGCTGTGATTCCATGATGTGATGCTCTGGTCCAGGGTTTCTCCACCTTGGCACTAGTGACTTCTCGGGCCAGACAGTTCTTTGTTGGGGGGCTGTCCTGTGCATTGTAGGATGGTTAATGTCATCCCTGGCCTCTACCAAATAGATGCCAAAAGCACTCCCTGCCCCAGTTGTCACAATCAAAAATGTCTACACACATTGTCAAGTGGGCAAAGTAATCCCTCCGTTCACTGCCCAAGGACTTCAATAAGGTCAAGACCATGTGGTTCAGTGGAGAAAGGTCTTCCTGCCCCCGCCTCTTCCCCAACCCCTGCACACTTTTCCACACACTTTTCAAACACAACCTCCTAGTTCTTTGCTACTCCTCATTTCTTAAATGCCCTCCGTGGTCCAGCGTGTGTTTGGTGTGATAATGAACCGATTGATTTCATACTTTCTCTTAAAGAGAGTTCACAGGTTTATGTCCCCTAAGCAACCAGCCAGACTCCCACAGAAATCCCTCGCAGAACCCTGGATGGCCTGGAAGCCTGTATCTGCAGCCCGCAGGAGGCTCGGTGAGCACGGATTTGTCAGCACTCTTAAATCACTGGGCTCTGAGGAAGCCTTCTCCCAGCACAAAGATCCTTCCTTAGGAATCAATAGCTCAAGGCCTTCTATCACACTCAGAATTATCCTGGGACCTGTAAAATTTCTTTCCCCCAAGCATGGCAGAACCCCGAAATGAAAACCCCAACACGGGGGAGGGAAGAGGGCAAGGAGGGAGTCCTGCCAAGGAGGCCTTGTCCACAGCCCAGATGTTGCTGTGAGCAGAGGCTGATGTGCGAACCCGGACACTCGGTCTCATTCGCCGGGAAAAGGAAGACCCAGTGTGGTTCCCAGGGGTCCTGCAATAATATCCTCTCCCAGCTGAATACCTCTTTACATCTCACCAAGGGTAGAGGCATGTTAAAGACTATCTTCCTTGATTTTCACTATCCTACACTCATCACAGGTTGCCAGCCTCATCATTTTGCAGAGGAGGAAACTGAGGCATGCAGAGGTTAAGCGGTTTGTCCAAGGCGCCTGAGCAGGAAGTGAGGAGCCGGATTCTAAGCCTGAGTCATTTCCACTACTGAGCTGCCTTCCCAGCGAGAGTAAGATTAAGGGTCAACCATCTGGTGAGGTTCATGAAAGAGGCGACTTCTTGTTTCCTCAGTGTCTAATGCCGCTCCCCCATTCAAACAAAAATACAGAGGTACTGTGCTATAGCTGTATTTTATGTAAGTATATTCCTCTGGGCTTATCCAGAACCAAACCATGCCCTGGGAATGCTGGCACAACTCTTCAGCTAGAGCTGGAATCAGGCGCAGATCCCAAGCACAGCCTCTCAGAAACCCTGCTTTCAAGGAGGGGGCTGTGGCTCTCCGGTGTTCCACATTATCCTACCACCTCCCTCCTCTACCTGAAGAAAAAGACCCAACTTGTCTGTGAGCCTGAAGGAGATGAGGAAACTCAAGCACCTTCCCTGGCAACAAGCATCCCTCAGGTGAGCCTTAGGGACAGAAGAGGATCCGCCTCTTGGAATTTGGGCTCCGCAGCACTGGTCCCTCCTGAGGGTTGCTGGCAAGTCTGCAGAGGCTCGGGGCGGGGGGGCTCTATGCAGAGTGCAAAGGAGCAGGGTGGGGAAAGGACACAGAGGGGGCAGCCCACAGGCCACTCAGCAAACCTCCTTCCCAGGGCCTGGCTCAGATGTCAACAGCCAGCCTCACAGAAAAGAAAAAGGGCAATGGAAATGGTAGTATCTTCCAGGTCACCCAAGAAGCCCTAATATGAGGATTTTTCAAAAATAGAACATCCTAGAACTCTGACCTTGAGCTGGGAGCAGCAAGGATGGGGAAATGGGCAAATACTGATTGGAAACTCTCCACTTCACCCAGGATCTGAGTACTGGAGGCCCCATAGGCAGTGGTGTGACTACAGGTCAGAGAGACCTCACTCTAGCATGCCTGAACAGAAGGAAGGAAAAGCTCCAGGCTTGGGTTCCAAGACCACCGCAAGGGGCTGGGCATTTCTGATTCCTACGTGCGTGGACAGAAACCAGGAGTTGCATTGCTTTTGCCTATAAGACCACTTGAAATAACAAGACAAGATAATGGAGGAAGGGGAAAGAATAATTAGGAATTTCTGTTACCTGTATATGTACATTATGAGAACTTTATCTGCTCCTCACCTCCTCAGTCTGAATAACAGATTCAAAGGAAATTTCCCCCAGTTTACTAGATTTATTAATTTACCGATGTCTGATCAGTCAGCAATTATGAACACTTACTGTGCAGAGAACACACGTCCATCTCCATAGTAAAGAGGAAGCAGGTCATGGGAGCGGAAAGAGCTCTAAGTAGAGGACTGGAAATCCTCGGACCCAGTCCTATCCTTCCACCAAATAGCCATGTGACCTTGGGCAAGATACTTGCCTTAACTGGGTTTCAGTTTTCTCATCTGTAAATTAAGTGTGCATGTGGGACGGCGTTGGAGTAGGTGCTCTTCAAGGTTCCTTTCTTCTAGCTCTAATATTCTTGGGCTCTATGAGTCGTAAACAAGTTCAAAGAACACACCAGCACCAAACACAAAGGATGATCTCAGAGAGCAGGTGGGGCTAGGTACCAGCTCTATTTCCTTGGAATGCTGTACATGTATCTGTCTCATTGCCCCTGAGACCACAGACCACCTGAAGTCCAGGAAGTACGTGGTAGAAGGGTTCCAATCATGAAGGTGATGGTTAAAGGCTATAGCCTGAACCTGCTTAAAGCATTAAGTTACTATGACCAATGAAGGGCAAGAAGTGAAAAGTCAGTGGTCCTGAGCTGGGTGCCTTTGGCGCCCCCTACTGGGCACCAAAGAGCCTGCTGGGCAGCTTCCATTGTCTCAGCAGGCAGCAAGCAAGACTGAGAACAGGACTGTCACAGCTGTTTAATAGGACCACCTTCCTGGTCTGTAGTCCGCTCTCTATAAGAGTATGTTTCACTCTCCAGAATTACACAGACCATTGGTCCACACATTCAGAGGGCACTACGGTGCTGCTATAGGACGTCTTAACCAAACATCAAGGTGCAGAGTAATAAACCTCAAGGTTCAGAACACCAGATGCAGCCCAGATGGAGAGGAGAGAAGAAAGCAACAAGCAGGTATTTCGCTGTACAAATCCCCAGTGGAGAGAAGGTCTTGGGAAATGCAGCAGAAAAATGTTGACTGCAGGTAGAGGATGGAGCTGGGTTTGGGGGTATGAACTGAGAGCCCCACTAGAAGATCTACAGGCTGATGCAGCTGCCCTAGGAGTTCAAAACACTCATTCATGTTCAGGGATGAGGTACAGGATACAGCCCCAACTGAGCAGCCCACTTTTGACCTTCTCCAGAGACCATTAGTACCAACTGTAAACCAGGATATTCTAACTGTGGTCCACTGAGCCAGCATCAAGACCTTAAACTCCCTTCATTGTCCCTTAAATGGACTTTAGGACCTGCTGCCAGAAACATGTTCTTAATCAAGTCAGACTGAGAGAAAAAGCTTCCTCAAGGGCCATATTGGAAGAACCGCCATATTCCCACTTTCCATTCTCCATCTCCCCTTCCTCATGGCTGAGAATGAGGTACAGGGTGACTCTGAATTCGCTCTAATTCAGTCTTGGGTAGCTGCAGCCCCAAGTCATCAGGGTCAAAAAATCTCCCACCAACAGCGTTTCTCTTCCCACAAGAGTTCTCCCCTGATTCAAGCAGCACTACAGAGTTGTCCCCTATCCCTGGAACCTTCTTGCCTTCTTTTCCACCTGGTTTCACTTGGGAAATCCTGCACCCATCCCAGAAGACACCTCAAGTGTGACTCAAGAATATGTCTTGCCTGGAGAGCTGAAGCACCTCCTGGGACACACAGAAGCCACACTACGTGCACACCTTACCACCACCAGCGGCAATATTCATTAGTCATTCCCCGAGGAAGGAAAGTGACCCCCCTCCCCAACCCCAGAAACACTTCCCGGCCACTCTGGGAGGCTCCTATCCAGGCTGGGATGGCTCTGGTTTCTTGAGTTGGTTTCTGCAGAAACAGGACTAACCAGGACTCCCAACTACTGTACTGCGAAGAAGCGCGCTGCATTGCTGGGCATGCCCCCAAGCTCGGCCTGCTGCCCCATCAAAGCCTCCATGTGTCCCCACTGGGCTGAGGAGGATCCCTGGTCCCCCTGGAATGCCTGAAGCTGGCTTGCCTGAGATAGGCTGAAAGCAAGCGGACCACACCTCGGTCCAGCAAAGGCAGCCGGCAGCTACGCCGCGCGCTGGGCTGGCTCCCCGAGCTCTCTGCCACCCAGCGCTGTGCCCGGGAGCTCGGCTTTCCCGGGGAAGAAGAGCTAGCTTCCCCTAGGGCTCCTCCCCATCTTGGAAGCCTAGGCACCCGGCCGAGGCCAGTAGCTTCCCAGGCCCGGAGCTGAGCCTGGTTCGCTGGGTGACTCCCCACTACCCCAGGCACATCCCTCCTCACCTGCTCCGCCCCCTCCCAGCCCCGGTGCCCTCTCCCCAAACAGCTGACCTCCAGGACGCCCCCGACACCTTCTCTGCAACTATGAGGGCTATCGCCCCCGCACCTCCGCTCCCACCTCTCCTCCACCTCCGGCCCCGCACCCGCCTCTACCCCAGCCCGCGGGAGGCTCTGCGCGCCAGTCGAGTCCTGCGCCTCTTGGCAAGTTGGAAGCCAAGCCGCCGCCGCCTTAGCGGTCTCCGTCTTCCCCGATTCCCCCCGGGCGGCACCCCCGCCAGCCCGGCGGGCGGATCGGGGTGGGGCGCAAAGGGCGGGAGAAACTTTCTCTGCCTGAGTGGGTGAGGGGCACCGGAGCGGGTACTCACGCCGGCGTCTGCGCTCGGAGCCATCCTCGGGCTCTCTCAGCCCCACCGCCTGGGGGCGTCGGAGAGCGGGAGCTCGCTGCCGCCTCTGCCGCCGCCGCCGCTGCCTTCCAGCTCCCAGCCCCGGTCCCGGGCTGGCCTGGAGCCTCCCGCCCCGACGCCGCTCGCTCGCTCGCTTTATACAACTCCACTCGAGCGCGCCCGGGCTTATGTAAAGGCTGGCGGAGACCCGCAGCCAATGGCGCCGCAGCTGGAGCTGAGGGCCCGGGGGTGGGGGGCGCCCGCGTGGCCAATCGCGGCCCGGGGAGCCCGGGGAGCCGGGTGGGGGGAGGGGCGCCTCCCCTCGCTGATTTAGAGCCGGGATTGCGGTGGCAGCCGCCGGCAGCCCGGCCGGCCGGGCGCGACGCGTCGGGCGCTGGGGTGGGCGGCGGCGAGGGCGGGTGCCCCCCTGCGCCCCACCGCGGCGTCGCGTAACCTTCAGGAGGCAGCGGGACCTGGCGAGGGGGGCGAGGGCGTCTGGCTGGGCGCTGGGGGCCGGGGGCTGGCGGGAAGCAGGGGTCCCCCGGGAGGAAGCGCCGGGAAGGAAGGCGGGGGGGAGGGGGGGCGGCGAGCCCCAGGGCCCCGCGGTCACCCCTGCGCGCAGGGCCGAGAGTGGCGGCTGGGACAGCGGCGTGCCTTCCCGTTTCCCCAGATAGCGATCTGGCGTCGCCGGGCCGGGCCGGGCCGGAGCGGCCGCGCGAGCCGCGGTGATGGCGAGATTTCGCGCTGCGGAGCGAGCGCTGAGCCGATCTTTATCCGGTCAGGGGACGTGTCCGAGTGCCTTCCGGGGACTGCTCAGTATGGAGAGCGGAGCTTCGCTACGGCCCCAGAGGGCGGGGAGCGGGCGAGCACAGCTCGGAGATGAGGCGCGGCGGCGGAGGCGGTCGCGGGCAGCGTCTCTCCCTCCCGCCTGGTCCCCCGCCCGCCCGCCGGCCTTGCGGGCGGTGCCCCCACCCCACCCTACCCCTCCTAGCCCCTGCCCAGACAGGGCCGAGGCTGAGCCCGGCCCACCCACTCTGGTCCGGTGCGTCCATCCAGCCTCCCTCACCGCTTTGCTCACAGGTACTGCTTCCCCCCCTCCTCGAACCCCAGCCCCCTGCCGTGGGCGGGACGATCTCAGCTTCTCAGGGCAGGGTGCAGCGGGGGGCTAAGCTTGGGAAGAAAGCCCTTGGTCAGCAGTGCCCAAAGTGCCCGTGTGCGGGGCAGGAAACTGGCCTAGGTCGATAACACTCTCAAGTCAGGTCCCTTATTTTGCGCCTAGAATAGGGCCTGGCACGTAGTAGGCGCTCAGTAAGGATTTACTGAATGAACCTTGAACTGAATAAGGACTTGGGGTTTCTGAGAGCTGGGGTACTGGGCTTGGGAAGAGAAAGACCTGGGAATAAGTCATCAGAGAGGGAGGGACCTAGGACTGTTTTCTCATCTATTGATGCCTTTATGACCACCACCCTGCTGTCTGGGCACTTGACTCCAAATGTGCTCTTTCGTGGAAGACGCCGACAGCCAGCCCCTGACCCCAACCCGGTTATCCCCAGGTTTTGAGCAGAACTACCAGAGCCTACTCTGGGCCCTGATTTCAGGTGGCTGTGATCGTCCTCTGGAAAGACATAGCTAAGGACAGGCAATCTTTCTCGCTTTGGGGGTCCTGGATCTAGCTCAGGTTCTTAACCTTTTGAGGGTGATGAAACCTTTTGACTGTTTTCAATCTGATGAAAACCATTGAATCCTTTCTCTAGAAAAATATATACATACACATTTACAGGCATACACACACACCTTGAGTATAATTTCAGGATCATTAGGGACCCTGAGTCTCTCTTGGGGCTCTGCCCAATGTCAAGCTCCTGTTTCTCTAGGGGTCTAGGACAGTGGTTTATAATCATCCTCCTTTTGGGGAATCACAGAACTCTTTTGAGCCTTTCAAGAATCTGATTAATGGTATGAGTCTGTGTCTCAGGAAACTGCTCGATCACATACACACGTGTTGACATGCAATTTTAGGGAGTTCGTGGATCCTCAAAACCAGATTCAGAAGCTTCAGCAAATAGCAAATAGACTTTGCCCCATGGGTACACCTGATCCCCAGCTCGCTCCACAAGGAGTCCGGTGAGCTCTGCACCATGCTGCCTCATACCACCACCGTATTCTGAGGGCATCTGAGTCATGTGGTGATGGCCCCGGCACCTGAGAGACCATCTCCACACTTGTCTCTGCATCTCGGTCCCCGCCACCCTCTTAGTGTAGAAATAAGTTGCAGGTTGTCATGTTCTGTCTGATCTATGAGCATTCCTTAGCCAGAAACTCCAACTCTGGGAGACAGCAAGTGACTGGTAATTAACCAGGTTCGCTCAATCCCGAGCTTCTGAGCACATCTTTCTTGGTTTTTGTTCTCACCTCTCTCGCTTTGCCGGTGAAGCTGTTAGCAGGAGCCCCAGCTGTGGAGCCTCACCTCACCTAAGCCCGACAGATTTAGTAACCAGCGCAGTAATTATCAGCATTAGCCATCCAGATGTGAATAGGCTTTCCGTACAAAACAGCTCTGTAATGATCTCACACTTTCCGGCAGCTAGCCAAGTAAGGGTGCATCAGACCAGAGGTGCTGGGGAAGGACAGAGAAATGCAGGAAATGACGGAGACAGTCTCTCCAGGAAGTTCTTTAGGGAATGCAATTTGGTTTCTGCACTTGAACTTGTAAGGGTTCAGTCGGTGGGCCAGGCCTTTCTGGTCCTGTAATTTCTAATTCCTCTAATGTCCTCCATGTCCATTCACTCAGTTCATGTCTGTGCCCTGCCTGTATCATTGTAGACATCTTGCCCTCACAAATTTCCCAGACATATCTTGCTTTCTCGGGGCACATGCACATTTATGGACTGAATTGTGTCCCCTCCAAATGCATATGTTGAAGACTTAACTTCCAATGTGACTATGCTTGGAGATAGGGCCTCTAAAGAGATAGTTACGGTTAAGTGAGGTCAAAAGTGTGGGACCCTAATCCTTAGGATTGGTGACCTTATAAGAAAAGAAAGGGACCCTGGAGATCTTCCTGTCTCTCTGGGCACACACAGAAGAAAGGTCATTTTAGGACACAGACAAAGGTGGCCGTTTGCAAGCTAAGGAGAGAGGCCTCCAAAGAAACAAAAACCTGCCCCTCGATCTGGGACTTCCAGCCTCCTACTGTGAGAAAATAAAATTCATTTGTTTAAGCCACCTGATCTGTGGTATTTTTTTTATGGCAGCCCGAGCAGACTAACACACATATGTTTTCAACACGCTCCTTACCCCCATCCAGCTTGTTCAGTCTCCTCCCAACACGCTCTCTCCGTACTGTCCCCCCACAAACCTTGTCCATTCTTACCTGGGACACTTGCCTAAAATGTTTTCTCATCTTTTGGCACCCAACTAAGTCTCACTTCTCACAGCATCTTCCAAAACTGCTCTGGCCTGCATTGGGGCTTTGCCTTTTCAGCCCTCCTGCAGGTCTGCAACATCTTAGCACTCTATTATACATATTGTCCTGCGTTCTCTCTAATTGTTTCTTATGCAGAAAAACTTGGCCTTCCTCTCAGAATAGAAGCCCCTTTAAGTCCAGAGTTTGTACCTTGTACTTGACTACCTCATAGAACCCAGCGTGAAACTGGGCACAGAATGAACACAGGGTTTGCTGATTAATTTATTCCAATTAAACGTATTTATGTTTCAAAAAAAAAATACTAGAAAAGTTTCATAGCACTTCATTTTCTAAAAGCTCAAGACATTTGGGTGTGTCATTTCAGTCATCTCGAAAGCCCATTGGAGCAGAGGCTGTTGGGAACCAATCCTCTCCTCTGGTTCAGGATCAGAGGGTTACACAAGCTACTCAGAGTCACACAAACTCAACCCTTCTTTCTCCAAATCAGAAAATTTGCTATCCTTGGTTTCCTTGTGACCCTCACTGATCCACCTGGCTGTCTTCGCACTCTCCAGATAGAGAGGAAAGGCTAGGGAATCTCAGCTCTTAGAGATGCTTCTGTTTCAACAAATCTTACCTGAGGCCCTTGAAGCCAGAGGTGCTTTAGAATTCAGAAAGGTACCGAACGCACCGAACATGCCCTGTGAGATCATGGGCAGCATCTCTTAATCAGCCTCATTATTTCTGCAGTAAAACATAAAACATTTAGTGTGAATGTTCACACTAAATGGGTATGAGGATAAAATGGCTTCACTTCAGTTTGTCTGGTTTTGTCACCAGATGAGTTCTGGCATCAAACTTGTAAAAAACCAAAAAAACCCCCAAAATCCATGCCTTGATTTTCAGAGATTTGGAAATTTGGAATTGCAGGTAGGGAATATATGGAATGATATTTTAGGCTTGGTTGTCCCAAAAGAAATGAATGTTTTGTGAGGGTGTGGAAAAGCAGCACTCGTAGCAAAAGAGAAACCATAAACTGGGAAAGAAGTGAGGGGTTTAAGAGAGTGTGAGGAAATAACCCCTTCTCAAACCAAGCTGTACTGGGTTGTAGTTCCTTTTTTCTAAGGAGTACATATTTATCAGCGGCTGGTGAGTTTTCAGATGGACTTGTGTTAACAGTGGCATATAAGTGGCAGAAGTACAGAATGCACTTTTGAGGGGAGGCAAGTAGGGGTGAAGATGACGGAAGCTCTTGAAGAGAAGCCACAAACCATGGTGGACTTCCAGATGGCCAGAGAGTTAGTTCCGAACAGCTTAAAACGGGAGCACAGGCTACAGGCAAGCTTCTCCGGGTGCAGAGGGCAGACCTGGGAAAGGGAGACTAGGTAAAGGGGGACATTATGAGATCCTAGAGAAGTCTGGTGAGAAAAGTCAGAGCCCCTTAGGGCTGGGGGGGAGCCTGGGGGTGATGATGAAGGTAGATGACTGATCATCATGTTAATATGTACCCAGGCAGCCTGGGTGCTTTGAGGTTTTGCTCCACTGTAGTGCAGTGGCTTTGCAGTCTGAGTGGTTGGCTGAGAGCATAATGCAGAGAGGAGGACAGTAAAAGGGAAGGCCATGGTGGACCTGGGACTGCACAGCTCTCTATGCCGGCTTGAGATGCTCAGCCAGTCATACCCTTCATGGTCAGGGGCTTGCCGGAGCCCAAGGTCAACAGCAGGGAA